TTAAAAAAATTGAAGAGATGAATAAAGAAATTTAAAATAAAAATTTGTGATAGTTTATTAATGACATTATGAGTATAAATTAAAATATTTTTTTAATAGATAAAAATAAATGATCATTAGTTTGTTTTTAGGAAAAAATTTGATATAAATTTAAATTTAAGCAGTGAAAATTATATTAAAATAAAATTAAAATTGTTAATAATAAAAATATTAGAATTAAAAAAGTTTAAAAGATAGTCGAAATAAATTTGAAATACATTTTCTTAAGTAATAATTTGTATATTATTATTTAAATTATTGTTAATAATTATCTTATACTACTTGTTCCAGTGATACAAAAGTATTCCTAACACTGAGTATAATTATAAATATAAACAAATTTTATTTATTAGGTCAATTTTATATTTTTTTATTAATAATAATTTATTTATTTAAGAAAATATATTTCAAATTTATTCCGATAAATCTCGTTTACAAATTTTCCTTTTAATTTTTTAATTTTATTTTTTTATCATTGATAATTTCAATTTTATTTTAATATTGTTTTCATTACTTAAATATAAATTTATATGAAATGAATAAATTAACAATCATATATTTTTATTAATTAAAATATTTTTTAATTTATTATATCATTAACAAACTTTCAATAATTTTCAATTTATTCCATCCTTGAAATTCTTTAATCCTAACAACAAAATTATTCCTCGTCTTCTTAAATTTATTTTATTAAATATATAGGCTATAATATATTAAGAACTTTTTGATAAAAGATTATATATTATTATTTTATTGGTTGATTTGAAACAGGTTATTATAAAAAAAACGGTTAAAAGAAGTGGTTAAAAAATATTTTCCAAAGTATATACATTAGACACAAAAAATACTTTTGTATGAAATGGAATGTGTTGTTGTTTGTTAATGGGGACACATGTAAAAGTGAAACGAAATTACTCATTAGAAGAATTCGACGTAGCAATAATTATATTTGATTGAAAAAAATAAGAAGGGATGAAATGATGAGTGGCACGGTGATGTAATTTGCGGGAATTGAGGTGTCATTTGCACGAGGGAGGGTGAAAATATCTTATTCTTCTTTCTTTCTCATGGCCCTGGGCAGGGGGTCTGGAAGTTTCTTCCGATATATCTTCCTATCTATCTATCCCCACCAAACAAAAAGGCACCGCGGTCAGCACAAGATATTTTTTTCTCTCACTTCCCCGCCGCTGCACCACAACTCTCGCTCATCAATTTACCCTTTTCTCCTCCCCTTTCTTTTATATCCCTCACTCCCTGTTTTCTCCATATTATTCCCATGTCCTTCACCTTCTATCCGTTCCAACCTCCATTCCTCCCTTGATTGCGTCTTCTTCTATTTTCATCTCTACTGCCTTCATCTTCTCTTCCCTTCCATGGATCGGGAAGGAGGATCCAACGGCGGATCTTGCTACTACTCCGTTCTCGGGATTCGTAGGGACGCCTCCTTCTCTGATATTCGCACTGCCTACCGCAAACTCGCCATGGTTAAAAAAAACATAAACCCCCCTACCGTCTCTTATTCTCTTTCTAGTTTAATTCTTTTCTCAACTATCACAAATTATGTTTTTTCTTTTTTAATTTTGGCCCTGACTGCGCAGAGGTGGCACCCGGATAAGTGGACTCGGAATCCCGCAACCGCCGGAGAAGCCAAGCGGCGGTTTCAGCAAATCCAAGAAGCTTACTCAGGTGAGGTTACATCATCACCGTAATTATCTTTTTAATTGTTGCAAAATTGATTAATCGGTAATGATGATTTTGGATTCTGTGGATATGCCGTAACAGTTCTTTCCGATCAATCTAAAAGATCAATGTACGATGCTGGCCTCTACGACCCTCTGGAGGAAGAAGACCAAGTCTGTATTGTTTTCTTTCATTTTTGTTTGATTATTGTTCTAGTATAATTTAGCCACGCAATTTGTATTTGTATATTATTTGTTTCCAATGCGCAGGAGTTTTGTGATTTCATGCAAGAGATGATATCGATGATGAACAATGTAAAAGATGAGGTAATGATTTTAATGATTGATTGAGTTGTATTGTTTTTTTTTTTTCTTTTGGAGTGTCGTAGGTAATGTGTATGTTGTGTTTGAATGTGATGCAGGGGGACAGTATGGAGGACCTACAGAGGATGTTCGTGGAGATGGTGGGGGGTGATGGGATTGACTTGAACCAGGATCAGATGGCTGGGAAGCGAGGACGTGTCAATGGATCAAGAGGCAATGCGGCCAAGCGCAGCAACTCTCGATCTTAGTGCGTCACACTCAATCCTTTCTTGTAACTTCCCACACTTTTCTTACTGAAAACTAGATCATTGAAATGAAAATCCTTACAAGGGTTCCTTCTAGACATTTATATCTGTGATGCCTCCTAATTTTACTTTTATTTGCACTTTTCATTTCATTGTGTTTTTTCATGACACCACTGAAACATAAGCATAACACGTGTATGTCATGTTAAAACTATTTAATGAAAAGTACCATTGTCGGTCTGACATTTTGAATTTTGAATTTAAGTAATGTAAAAATTAGTATAAGTACTTTTATTTTTTTAGACTATATGCCAAGAGGTAACTCATTCTTACTATTTTAAGATACATATTACATATGCAATTTATTCTCAAAGATAATATTGAAAAGGTAGGGTCAGGGACAAGTAGTTTCCTATTTATCGAAATCATTTAGTTGGGTATAGGAGGCTTCTAGTTCTTGTCCTTGTGTTATGGGCTTATATAAAAAAGTTGTGTATGTACGCATTAGTATTTATCTTAGTATAGATGAAAGAAAATATTATAATATTCAATTCGTTTCAAACTTATCTTAATATTTAGTTTTGGTTTCAAACTCGTGCTTAATTTAATTCTTTCAAACTTGGGAATAACTCAAGTCTTCAATTCAATCACTCTGAGCTAGACCTTGTTATAACTGAGTTAACGTTCTTAAACATATGTGAATTTGTAAACAACCATGAAATAAATTTTAATTTTTTTAATATGTAGATATTGCAAATTTACATATGAATACTAATACTGAAATAGTTGTTTATTAGTTTTAAAAGGAGTTAGTCTAAATGTTTTATTTTGTTGATGGCTAATGATATTTAATAATGATATTTAACAATATTTTTTTAACAATATTTTATCATATTTTATCAATATTTTATTATATTTGTTTATAATTATTATTGAATGTAGAATAATTTTGTACCAATCTGATTAAAATGTTGTCAAATGTCAAATATCATTATTCTTTGTTGAATTGGTTAATATATCTGAGTGTTGGAACTTAATGGATATTTAAGTGTTATATCATATGAAAACTATTTTCTTATTTGTGCAGCATGTGATTATAGCTTTAAAGTTTAAGAAGTTTGGTTATATCTTTAGAACACTTACAGATTTAGAAAAGTGTCTTTGGTTTAATATGTAAGAAAATATAAATAGAAAAAATATATAAAGTGAAAATATAAATAAGAAAAATGTTAACTTTGGTGAACTAGTTTTGTATAACTCTTTCAGTGATAGGTAATGTGTAGTTCCAAATACGCAGGAATGTGAAGACCTTTGATATGTAAACCCAAAACTATTATTACAATTCCAATTGATCAATCAGCTCGGTTGTTACCAACTTTTTTTTTTGTCTCATCAACTTTTTTCATTATCTTGATTTTCTAAAGAGTGTATACGATTTCTTTGTTTGGGAAAATTTTCATAGCAAAATTAATTTTGATAAAAAATTGACATTTTAATAAAGTGACAAGTATCTCATGACAATGATAATTTATGTTTTTAAATAACTTTGTTTCAAATTAGTATAAATGATCTTTTATCATAGAAAAAAATGTCACTCATACAAAGGGTTAATCACTCAATAAACGAGCCAATACTCGTGACAAAATAAAAAATGTCACTATAAATCAATATATCACCCAATCACTCGACAGAAATATATATAATAAAGAAAAAATTACGAATTAATTGTACAAATATAAGTGTAATTACCTTAATACTGTCTTTTATGAAATTAATAATTGTTTAATAATTTTAATTTGATATTACTTATTTCTTTCTCACTATTTTATTCTTAGCTCTCTTTTTAAAAAAAAATCTATCTTAGATGTTGAAAGATATGCCAAAAGTTATGCAATCATCTAAACTTTAACTCGTTAATATAATTTGTCCCATGTGTTAATATTAACATGTATCCGATAACATAAAAACAAATAAATTATAGTTGGTTTAATAGAATAAGTATTAACATTTCATTCATATAATAACAAAACTATATCATTAATACGATAATTTAGTTATATTCAAGTTTTGTTAATAATTAATGTAACTAATTCTATAAAATTTCTACACGCTTTTATTAAATAGAAAATTAATGGTAGCATGCAATTAACATGAAAAAAATATCAAGGATTTCAAATTTACTTGCACATCAATATTTTTTTTTCTTTTTAATAAATATAAGTGACAATCAATAAACGTTGAACTTGTATTTAATTATCTTAAACATTAACGTAGTTCAAACAAAATTAAGACAGAAAAATGTTGCTTTAAAAATGCACTAAAAGAAAATTTTCATGATAATTGTTATACTTAACCGATTATTTATTCAAAATTGTGTTATATTTGACTACTAATTTATATCCAAAAATATATTCATTTGGAGAATATGTCCATTTTCTTAGGTCTACAAAAGTATAAAGTTAAATAGAGTGGTAAAGTGTCTGGTTGAGTAACGGGAAAAGCTCAATGCACCAATAATATTGCTTACTTTTTGGGCCAACCGTGGAATTGAACAGTCCAAGTATTTGAGGCCCAACGAGGAATAATCACAGAGGAGGATTTTTGTTGGAATGCAAACAGCGTGTTGGTAGCCGTACGAAACAAACCTTTCCTCCAAAATTAAAGTAGCTTTTTCCCTCATCTTTAAATTCAAAAACGAAGTGGCATTTCCGTAAATGCACGCCGATCCAAGTCCTATTCCGTCACGCTCAATAAACCCTCTCGTTTCGCTTCTCTTTTCAAACTCCTAAACCATAAAACCCCAAACCCACTTCATCGTATTCTTCCTCTATTCTCTCACTTTGCAGTCTCCAACCCTACGGTTCGATTACCCAATCAATCCAATTCCATATCCGAATCCTTCCATTTAAACACCATGTCGTATCGGCCGACAGCAAACTCCAGGACCGAGCTTCGTCGGAACCGTTACAAAGTCGCCGTGGACGCTGATGAAGGTCGGCGGCGGCGAGAGGATACCATGGTGGAGATTCGAAAGAACCGTAGGGAGGAGAGCTTGCAGAAGAAGAGACGTGAGGGTCTCCAATCTCAGCAGATTCCTGCGTCAGTTCATTCTACTGCAATAGAAAAGAAGGTCAATCTTGATCAACTTTAGAATAAAGTTCACCTGATGTTTTGTTTCGTTATTTCTTTAATTTTTGAAACACTTTGTGCAAATTCAAATGATTATAAAAATACTCATCTGACTCCTCCAAGTTCGACAAGTGATTAGGGTAGGAATTCGATTGTGCTGGTAGAATTCTGGTTTTTGAGTTTATATTGCATGTTTCATTTGACGTGTTTCGATGCACATTTATTTGTTTGTCTGTTGTAAGGGAAATACTATGATGTAAAGCAATTCATAGTATTCGTTGATTACGAAATGGGGGATAGTCTATCCCCTCTTTCGCTGGTTCTTTTGTGGTGTGCATGTATCTATACAGAGCGATACAGTTGACTGTACTTGTTAGGGAAGTTAAAGTTGGTCATTATTTAAAGCTTCTGTTAAGATTTCAGTTACAAGCTGTTGTGCTTGCAATTTGTGTTTGATGAATTCATCAACACTTTCGAATCATTGATTTTGCCACTATTTACTTGATTTTGAAAATGCCTTGTTTGATGAACGCTAGTCCTCCGTCTGCAAGTTTGGTGTTCTCGCAGTGGAATATGTATTTTCAAGGCCTTCAGAAAAACACATAATCTATTCTGGTCTGACATGCGTTGCTTCTTCACAATCTTGATCAAGTCACAAGTACATTTAACTTGGATGATTAACTTGGAGATATCCCACAAGGCAGTGTCTTCATTTGTCATTGTGATGGCTCCAGTCACAAACTGCAGCTTGTTCTCTGATTACAAACCACTTTTCATTGCACTGTCCGTCTCATGAATGATAGTTACTAATATTCATCGGTGGAGGGAAGGGGATCATCCGTGGGTTTTATCCAGGATACTTACTAGACTAGAGTGATTTAGATCTGCCATAGTTGAAAGGATGAGCACAAATAACTGAAATGTAAGTTAAGAAAGAGGTCAAAGATTGCAATGACGTAAGATGCATGAATTTGGGGAAATGATCTTTGCTGATGAATTTGATTGGAATAACATGCTTATACTTTATATACAGGAGGATAAGCAAAAACTGACTTGTAACAAAAATCTTTAAAGAAGCTTTAAATAGGGACCAACCATAACTGTATTAGTAGTACATAAGTCGGATTGGCATGAACCAGAAACAGGATAGCCTACTGAGATGTTTATTTTCTATCTTGCTGTAGTTGGAACAGCTACCAGCCATGGTTGCAGGTGTTTGGACTAATGACAATAACATGCAGTTTGAGGCCACAACTCAGTTTCGGAAGATGCTTTCAATTGGTTAGATATTGGTCTGATATTTGCTTTTGGTTCCGAATGTGAATGGTTTTTGACAAATTCTGTTTTTGTCTGGTCAGAACGTAGCCCACCCATTGAGGAGGTTATTCAAGCTGGTGTAGTTCCACGGTTTGTTGAGTTTTTAACGAGGGAAGATTTTCCAATGCTGCAGGTTTGTTATTATGTTTTACTTTGTGCAGTCAACATTCATCTCTGCTTATATGTTCCCTTGACTCTATTTAATGTTGTAGTTTGAGGCAGCTTGGGCTTTGACAAATATAGCTTCTGGAACATCTGAAAATACTAAAGTGGTAATTGATCATGGTGCTGTCCCTATTTTTGTAAAGCTCCTTGGTTCTCCCAGTGATGATGTCCGTGAACAGGTATATTCACGTACCTTTTCATTTCTTTTTTATCACTAATTAATGATATATAAATTATATGTATTCTTAAAATGAGATTAAATAACTTGTATGTTGTTCAACCAGCAAATGTATTTGTTGATTTTGGTTTTGGATGATGTGCTATATGCTGGTATAAGGGTATCATGTTTGTCCTAGAGTTGTTACTTGGTTTCTTTTAGCTATGATTTGCATAAGAAGATAGCAGTAGCTGGCAGTTTTTATCGTTTAACATTTTTGTGTGTTTTGGGGATAATCAGGCTGTTTGGGCATTAGGAAATGTTGCTGGAGATTCTCCTAGATGTCGAGATCTTGTTCTTAGTCATGGAGCTTTGCTTCCTCTATTGGCACAATTAAATGAGCATGCCAAACTTTCTATGCTAAGAAATGCTACTTGGACACTCTCAAATTTCTGCAGGGGAAAACCACAGCCTCCTTTTGATCAGGTATTAAGTTATGTTTTCCATGGCCAGAAAAAAATGAAATTTTGGCACCTTCCTATTTGTTGTTAAATTCTCTACCATTGTGAAATGATCTGACACAATTGTTCTGTTCTTTTTTAATTTTCTTGTTGAATACCATACGCATGTATTATTACCTGGGAAAAATGCTTGCTCTCCACTATATTGAGTTATTTTAGAGTTGTTACTTCAATCTGATGGACTGCTTCCTTTATCTTTTTATTCTTCATGTTCCTATAAATTGAAACCTTTAATGTAGGGGTGTTCAGAACAGAATCAATAAAGACAAAAGATCGAAAACCAAACAAAACCAATATTTTTCTGGATCTAATTTTTTCTCAACCAATTGGTTTGCTTCAATTTTTCGGGTTGGAAGTCAAGAACTAAATCAAACTGCATATTGAATTGAAATGTTGTGTGATATATTTCAAACTAATTAGTAAGTACTTAAGTATGATTCTTTTTAGGGATTGTTGTATAGTTTGATTGTATTGTGATTGGAGTACATAGATTTATATTTATCAAAACATGGCAACTCGTCAGAGCAAGTTAAAGATATGATTATCAAATTTGACAGCAATTCTCTTTGACAAATTTTACTTGTTAAATGTTTAACAATTTTGTTATAACCAAAACCGCAAAGAACTCATTGTAACCAAACTGCAAAAAAATGGTTTGATTTGAATTTTATATCAAATTAAAACTTAACCAAACCAAACTATACTTGATTTTATGTTTGGTTTGGGTAATTTTTAATAAAGAACTGAACAAAATTAAGATGCAAATACTCATAATTTTTTTGTGATAACATTGTAATATTAGGAAATTGTACTGTGACATTTTATTTTCTCTGTGACAGCTATAGCTGATTAAATTTTATCATTTGCTAATAATGGCCGTATTGTTGAAAAAGTATGGGCATGATTCATACTGAATAGAAAACTTGTAGATCTAATTGTTGGTTCAGTTTGTTGCTGGTTTTCTATTAATCAGATATGTGGTAGGTGTATTGGCTATATATATATATATATATATATATATATATATATATATATATATGTCTGATATGGTGATATGATTATTGTTAAAGTACACGGGATGTGCTATTTCGAGGATATTACATACACATAAAATTTATATCGTGTTTGTGCCCCTGTTTCTTTTAGTCATTTTACTCCATCCCTGTGAAGTTGTATTGTGGTCTTTGTTATTTTAGAAACATCAGACCTGTTATCCAATTTCACTTAGTCGTGAAATCACTCATTGGTAAACTCCTAATGTCATGGACTAAAAATGGTTGAGTAAATTATAACCTTCACCCATCGAGATTTTGTGAGATTGCACAATCTCTTGGGTAGTTTGTTTAATCACATGAAACCCTTGAAGTGTCAATTTAATTTTCTGAAATAATTAACAGGGTTGCAAATATGTTTTCTAAGAGAATTAAAATGAATGTGCTGTTAACGGGTTATTTAAGCCAATGTAGTAAATATATAATTGCTTTTAATGTTGAAACTAGAAGCATACTTCTTGTACATTCTTAACAAAATAGAAATTATAAATAATTGTCATCATAATTAACACTTAGTCTTTTACAATCATGAATGGTACTAATCTTCCCGTGAACATCATATGGATAATTTCCATGCGTCGTTTATCTAAAGCCAATGCTTCTGTCTTATGCATGCTTCATCTTTAGCCATCTCAAATTTCGTATCTGTCTTGTAAATCTTGAATACTTATGTGAAGCAAAATACATTTTGTTCCCAGTTTTGATTGAGGATTTATTAATTCAGGTTAAACCTGCTCTTCCAGCTCTTGCCAATCTTATCCATTCAAATGACGAAGAAGTCTTGACTGATGCCTGTTGGGCACTTTCTTATCTTTCTGATGGTACAAACGACAAAATTCAGGGTGTAATTGAAACTGGTGTTTGTAGCCGTCTTGTTGAGCTTCTGACGTGAGTAGTGTGAACTCAATTATCTATACGGAAAAGTATATACGTTTCAGTGTTGTTTTGCTGTCAAATTCTAAATATTATTTTACTCTTATTCAGGCACACTTCCCCCTCAGTGCTTATTCCTGCTCTTCGTACTGTTGGAAATATTGTCACTGGAGATGATTTGCAGACCCAGGTATTAAGTTCATTAGTTTATTATGACTGTGTTTGGCTATATCATATACAGATTACAATGTCACTGGCTCTTTTTGTGTTAATACTAGTAGTAGCAGGAAGCAAACTGATAAACAAGAAGATAAATATTTTAATTGAATTAAATGGATAGTACAGAAAATAGGAGAGGTATGTCCTCAAAGGTATCACAGAGGATTAGTCCTTTAAGAAAGACCAAACTCGACCCTCAAATCATATAAGACGAATGCCTCGTTCTATGCATCATCCTCCTTTATTTGCCTCACAACACAAGCACATAGTATGTTGTTGTGTTCAACACTTGTTGGACGCACCTCCTTCAACATGTGTCTGAAATTTCTCAACAGTGTCACAATTAAAAAATATCCTTTTTAGCTCATACACGTAAAGAAAGTGAGCCAACACCTATTCTTGACTAAACACTTCTTAGACACTACTATCATAAAATGGAAAAATAATGTATTTTTCTAGTCTTGTTTAGTTATTTGAATTATTAACATACAGTTTTCTACCAAACTCCTGACAAACTGGTACTATGCTGAACCCGAACTGTACTCAAGGAGGAAATCTCCTTTAAAGAAGAAAAATACTGCAAAAAGAGAAAGAGACAGCATAATGGAATAAATGCTAGGTACGTCAGTCCTTAGATTCAGCCCCCAATTTACTAATTTCCATCCGATCCTCACTCATGTTTTCTTTCACCTCCCAGTCATTACACCATCATCGTCTCCAATACCTTACTTCCATATGAACATTCTGTGTAACTCTCCCACTCCGATTACTGTTTCATATCCCACCTTGTCATAAAAGAATAATTTTCCATCATCTAACACTTTTGTGCAGCACTAGTTACTAAATGACATCGCTAACTTTTTGATCAGTCATGGTTGTTTTAGTGCTTTCTGAAATTATCACTTGTTAACAAGTCCTAGGTTCTTGTTAGACTTCTTGGGTTTTCTTTAAATCGGGTAGATGTTAAGATGTGTGCTTATGTTAATTGGGCTCAGCGCATTCTATATTAAGGGCCTTGGCCCATATCTTACATTATAAATAAACTACCCTATGTGTATGCAAAATACACAAGAGAGATTTCTCCCAATCTTCTCCATTATTCACATGGGTATCTAGAGCTTAGGATTAGTTCTAGCTCCACGGTCTCCGGCACACATCACCACTGTTGTATCTGCCGTCGCCGGAGTTCTAGAATCGACCGACGATCACACCTTCGGAATCGTCTCGGCCGGGCGACCACCGTGGTGCAAAGATCGCGGCGAACGACCACCCACGCGCTGCCACGTGCCGACGCGTCGCTGGTGATTTCCGCTGCCAACCAGGACTGTCGTGATCGCCTCCTCGCCCTCTTTCTAGATCTGTGGTCGTTGCGTCAATCAGAGCACTTTGGATTTTTAGGGTTTCTCCTTCACCATGGGCATCCGACATCAAACTTTGGTTGAAGAGTCAGGGGTGCGTAGATCACCTTACTCAAAATGTGAATACTGCTACCACAGATGACACTTCCCGCTAGATGAAAATTGATGCCCAGTTATGCATTTTTATTAAGTCCACCATTCACTCCTCACGGAAACAAATGTTTTGATCATATGAAACATGTTCAGAAGTGTTAGATGTTAAGATGTGTGTTTATGTTAATTGGGCTCAGTCCATTATGTATTAAGGGCCTTGGCCCATATCTCACATTATAAATAAACTATCCTATCTGTATGCAAAATACACAAGGGAGATTTCTCCCAATTTTCTCATTATTCACAAAATCCTTTTACTATGTTAAGTGCCAAGGAGAGGTGTTATTACTAAGATCAGGCTTAAACCTTTTTTCAGACTGGATTGACTTGTTCAGGATATGCAAAAGGGATTTTTGTTAGAGTACAATATAGTGAATTCTCTTCATTTTTCTGTAGAGACTTTATTGCTGGGTTGTGTGTAATCGTTGTATGTAATGCTTTGAGTAGTTAACTCTGCGTAGACACACAAGCACAGTAATATGCAATTTTTGTTTGTACTGATTTTGTACTTTCTTGCTTAGGTCATCATCAACCATCAAGCTCTTCCTCGTCTCTTGAATCTCTTGACCAATAATTATAAAAAAAGCATAAAGAAGGAAGCTTGCTGGACTATATCAAACATCACAGCTGGGAACAAACAACAGATTCAGGTATAGACTATTTTGGGGGTCTTCATTGTGTTGTAATTGTGCATTTATGTTAGTTAAATTTTAGGGGTCTTCTTTTTATCCTTAATTTCTGGATATCTGCAGGATGTAATTGAGGCTGGTCTAATTGCTCCTCTGGTCTATTTACTTCAAAATGCTGAGTTTGATATCAAGAAAGAGGCTGCGTGGGCTATCTCAAATGCTACGTCAGGTGGATCTCATGAACAAATCAAGTATGGGGATATTCTTTTGTTTAGATTTTAGAATGTTCCCTTGAGATTTATTGGTGTAACAAGGTTATGAATCTTTTTCCCTGGTTGGCAGGTTCCTTGTAAGTCAAGGATGTATTAAGCCCTTGTGTGATCTTCTCATATGTCCTGATCCTAGGATTGTGACAGTTTGTTTGGAAGGTCTTGAAAACATCTTGAAGGTAGGAGAAGCTGAGAAAAACGTGAGCAATACTGATGGTGTGAATCTATATGGCCAAATGATTGATGATGCTGAGGGGTTAGAGAAAATTGAGAATCTCCAGAGTCATGATAACACTGAGATTTATGAAAAGGCAGTAAAGATTCTTGAGACATACTGGACGGAGGAAGATGATGAAACTGTGCCTCCAGGGGATGCTTCTCAGTCAGGCTTCAACTTTGGTGGCCACGAATTTCCTTCAGTGCCTTCTGGTGGATTCAACTTTATTTAGAAGGTATTCTTGCTTTATTATAACAACATTAGGTTTTGTTGTGTCTGCAAATTTTTTATTTGAACTAGTAATGTTTAGAACGTTTGCTTTTGTGTGCTGTCCTTTATCGCATGGGCATTATTTTGAATTTTGTTAACTGCAGGCGTTTTGGTTGGTCTATCAGTAAAGTCTGACAGCCCAGCAGTCGGGGTCAAGTCAATGCCTTTTCACTGTACTTGGATCCCTCAAGTTCAGCCTTGGTAAATAGAGGGTTGCTGGACTCGCTTGGGTTATGGCTGGGTTTACATACATCATGAGACAGATGAGTTGTGGCTTGATTTTCTTAGCCACTTTAGATTTATAGATACTGGAGTTTGCTTTCTGCCAAATGATCAACTGATCATTCCGCGAGTGATTTGGTTTCTAGAAAATTTATGTTCAGTCGTGATATTTTCTGTCATAGATTGGAGTCAGTAAGCACCATTTGTAACTCTGGATGTTTTGGCCCGATACCATCACAAAAATGCCACTATCTTTCCTTCATTTTATGATGGAGTTTTTGTTTTACCGTTGTAATTTCTTTTGAAGTTTACCGTGAAGTTCTATTCATTATGTTCTCTGTGGTCCGGTCGAGGTTCGTCAGGGTTTAGGAAAAAAGTCTAAAACAGAAAATTCTTTGCAACAATGTCTTTTTTTCAGAAATCATACTTTGTTGCTTGTTGAGATTTGCTCACATTGTTTTTTCATTCATGCATTCTGTCATATGTGCACATTTAATATAAGTGTACACCCGTGCCCGCACGTTGCAAATATATAGTATAGAAACTGGGATGTTGTCTAACAATATTTTTAGAAAAGAGAATAATAAGTGTGACGTAGCTATTTAATTAACATGAAAACATGAGGTTATCACTATCCAAATAGAAAAAATAGAAAAAAGTCCTACAGACGTCCTCCTTACATTAATTGATGTCCATAACTAAAATTATGCTTCTTTATGAAATCCTCTATCTGTATAATATTTTCATTTATGAAATATTTAGATCCATATCTGGTGTTCGGTTCGGTGTATAATTCTAATCGATTCCTATATGATTTTTTAAATTTGAATCTAAATGAGGCTTGACCTTGGAAATGTCAGCATTACAAAAACGGCTTCTGCTCGTCTAAATAACTTTCCATTTGAATTGAGAAGATTTCCCACAATGTACACAGAAATTATGTCACCTTTAGCAAGACAATAAATTTAAATAAATGAAAAAAAACACACACACACACATCGTTTTAGGCTGAGTTCAATTTTTTTACTAATACTTGAAAAATATAATGTTGGTTTAATGAATCTGGAAAGAAGGACGAGAGAGATCATGGATTTAACTCCTCCCATTAATAAATACTAACCATTAACGTTGCCAATTCAAAAAAGAAAAAGAAAAAAAATCTAACAATAACATTTCACTTAAACTAAATAAAGTATTCATATGACTTTGTACAAAAAGTAATTTTTATAATCATTACCTTTTAATTTCATAGGACGTAGGACACAAATACTCATTAGTTATATAAGGATATTTGTTAAATTAAGTATTATCTTATATTTTCAAATTAATTTTAATTTATTTGGTGATGTTTTCACGGTTAATTAAAATATATTCTCAATTAAATATGCTTAATTATATATATTCTTTTACTCTTGTAGAAAGCTAATTAACGAATATACATTATTAACTAATTCTTATTAAAGTTTTCACCTTTAATTAAAGTATATTATTAATTATGTAAAAATTCATTCAATTACATAATTTTTTTAAAATTTAATCAAACTAAATTGTAAATTAAAATTAAAAATCTTGGACTCATACACCATGCTAACTTTGTTGCAATGTAAAAATTATTACTTTTACTTGATTTAGAAGCAAAATATGTAGATAAAAGTAAAGCACAACAATAATAAAAAAGAACAAACCAATTATTGCATTCTAACATTAAAATCCATTAAGAAATTACCAAGAGGCTTGACACTCTATTGAATTGGGATAATAACAGATCGGGTACGAATAGTGTCTATCTGCTACTCGATTCACCGGATAAAATTGTACTCATTATTCGCCCACTACCCGCACGGATACACATTTAAAAAATACCAGCGGATACTTGCAAAAAAAATATTTTATATATTTTTAAAATAAAATTTAAATAAAATTACAAATATATATATATATATATATATATATATATATATATATATATATATATAATAATAAATTAAGTTAAATATAAATTAAAATTTAATTTTAATTAAATTTAACCTAATAAAATATACTTTTATTTTATTTTTAATTAAATTTAATTAAAAAATATATAAATTAATATTTTTTTGCGGGTAACGGGTACCCGCGGGTTGAGTAGTATATTACCCGTACCCACTCGTTTAGAAGCGGGTATTAAAATATCCGCTACCCGTTACCCACAGATAGTAACTGCCCGCCACGGATTTTACCTGCGGATACTTATGCCCGAAAATTTTTTTGCCATCTCTACTATTGAATGTAGAAATAAAATAAAAATATAAATTAGGCTCCCCAAAGGGTTCCTAAGCACCCCCTAAGGTGTTTTTCTAAGTCTTTTTATATAGAAATTAGACTGCACTTTGTTTTGGTCTTTTTTAATATTCTTTCTAATAATGTAATCTCCTCCCATCATCTTTTAAATAATCTAATATTTTCAAGATATATTTGATTGTTTTTAAGATCTCAATAGATTTCAGAAGATCTTACGAGATTCAAAAGGATTTGACAAATATTACTTTTTAATATTTACTAGTATAGTTAAATAATGTAATTATTTAAAAATATCAAATAAAATATCTAAAGATATATTTTCTCTAAATTATTGTTTATCATAAACATTTATTAATTATCAAAGCCTTTTGTTAAAAAAATTAGAGAAAATCGCAAGGTCCAACTTTTGTTTCTTGATCCCTCTTCTTGCTTAACCAAATTTCTTCACTTTTTTCTTGTCTTCTTCATGGAATGCTTGATTGACTTCTTGTAGTTTTAATTATTTGTTGTTCTTGGATTTGTCATGAAACTTTAATCAATTTATCCACACCTTTATTAACTCAATTTAGCTGCATCTGTTCTAACACCTTAAAATATCCAAAAAAGAACATTTATGTAATGCAAAAACTATTTTTAACATGTTTTTATATCTCATGCTAAATAAATTTAGTTATAACAAACCTTAATTAAAAGATTTTTTAAAGCATAAAAACCAATTAAGGATCTAAGATTAAAGGCTTAATGAGAATATAAATATGCTATCATTAACATTGGAAATCTCACATCGACTAGAGATAAAATTAATTTGGAGTGTATAAGTGGATGAAAATCTCACCTTACAAGTTGATTTTATAAGATTAAACTAAGCTTAAAATTCACTTTTTAACATAAAGAAAAGGGATAGAGGGAACACATGTCTCCTCACCTTGCAAAACCTCGTCGTAAATGAAGATGAAAGAACTACATAAAAAAAGAGGGAGTAAGATGCTAGGCACTGAAACATGGATAATATAGGAAGAGTCATGTAAGAAGGGTTAAAAGTTTTGTCGATTGGTGGAAGACTCGTAGAAGATATGAATTGATCTACAAAAAGAATGATGACTTTTCATAATCTCTTAGAGCTTACGTGACCAAAGATATGAAGAGCATGATATGAATGATTTTCAACTATTCTCAATGAAAATTTTTCAATGAGCTTGTATCACAGCACAATGTAACAACCAAACAAATAATGTTCATTTTAATTATAGGTGTCCACGACTGCTACTTACTTCAACCATAATAGCTTATGATAGTCTTAACACCCTATTATGACGTACATAATTCTTAGTGTTTTAATTCCTTATTTTTGTCATATGATCTTACATTGGTTATAACACCTTACATTGACCTTAAGAACTTATTTTGGACATCAATCCTTAGATTGACCTTAGTGTATTTAGCCATACTATCTTATGTTATGTTGATTGTTGCCTTATTGTTTGATCTTAACATCTTATCATACCCAACATGAAAAAATGATGACTCATAAAACAACTTATCACATATACAAAGATTATCAACCTTAGACTAAGCATCCAACATACAATATTAATCGATGTTGGACTGACATGTAACTCATCATAAAAACATATTAATATTGTTGCAAGAGATATGATCGAGATCCATAATTAAATGTCACCAAACCAAGAACTATCAAATTTCAACATTGACAAGTTCTTTCAATATCTTTAAAAATAATTTTATAGCTTAAAATTTAAGAATTGTGTTCTGATAGGTTTTAATGGTTACAAATACTCTTTCATTCAAAACTAAAAAAGGTATATCCTGATAGACATTATATAAAATTAAGTGACTGATGAAAATAAATAAAAAATAGTCTAATAAAGGTAGTTGACTTCCCACCATAATCTTTAAGAAAATATAAGATTTGAGTAAAACTGAAATACGATCCTAATTCTATAATGAAATGAAAATAAATTTAACAAAAAGTAAATTTATTTCGAAAGAAAAAAGGCATAAATATTTATGTTTTATATTTTATTTCCAGAACATTATCCAAAACCTGATTTAGTGGTAGTTGTGTTCCTTCAATTCTGTTTAACTAAATTTAAACATAATGTTTAATATGATGTGAGAGATCGGAAAGAGCACAGATCTACTCTCCCAATTCACCGACGCCTTTTTTTGTTCTCCTTAATGATTAATTGCCCATGCGTATAGCTCTGGAAATTCGTTTCAGTTTAGTGTATTAATTATCAGAATAATTTTTAAATTATTTACAGTTTCTCATAGTAAAAAAATAATTACTTAAAAAAATAAAGTTAGTTCCATGTATACAAATTATATTGTTAAAGTCTTTCCTTTTTAAATTCAGTTTAGCTACTAAGTTTCGCAAATTAATTTTATACAAGCCGACCCCTTTATGTTTTGATTATAAAAGTTTGTGAGGTTTTTAACTATAGAAGATAATAAAAAATTAAATATTAATGAGTTGTTATTAAAAAAATTAAGGAAGATAAAATATGAGCTTGTTTTATATAGTAATTGTAATTAATCATGGTCAATCTATTAACTAGATAATATTTTTCCTTTTTCACCTCCACCTTGAATTCCTATTTTTTTTTTTTTT